AAAAAAAAAAAAAAAAAAAAAGAATCCCCAAGCTTTCTACCAGATGCAAATAGATGCTAGGAAGAGGATGAATGGTTCGTGCAAGCAGCTTTGATGTTCCAGTTACACCTGCCCAAAGTGCCCTATTATAGACATATTTGCCTAGAAAAAAGACTAGGATATACTCAAATTTGTCAACAGTGGTTATCTTTAAGTATTCTGGAAGTTCTTCTTTTTCCTTTTTTCCTTTTTTTTTTTTTTTTATTTGAGACAGGGTCTTACTCTCGAGTGCAATGGTGTGATCACAGTTCAATGCAGCCTCAACCTCCCCCATTCAGGTGATTCTCCCACCTCAGCCTCTAGAAGAGCTGGGGCTGCAGGCATGCACCACCACATCCCCCTAATTTTTATATTTTTTGTAGAGACAGGGTTTCCCCATGTTGCCCAGGGTGATCTTGAACTCCTGGATTCAAGCGATCTGCTGACCTCAGCTTCCCAAAGGGCTGGGATTATATATAGGTGTGAGCCACCGCACCCAGCGTTTTATTTTTTTCTTATTTTATAACTTTCTGCAATAAACAGGGTTTTTGAGGCATGAAAAAATTTAACTTAAAAAATAAAATAGGCAAGTAGCAAATACATACTGAGAACCATTTCCTTATTAAAGAGCAAACTATGAGAATAATTTCTTTCTTTTGTGTGTATTTGTTATTCTTTTTTGTTGTTGTAACCACCAGAACAGGCAACGTTAAGAATAATTTTTGAAAAATATTCACAGGCATCTGGCCTCTAATTCCACCCCCAAAGTCATCCCTCTTCCTGTCCCAGTGGTACTTACATTCCTGAAGACATTCTGTGTCTGTGCAGTAGGACTGGGACTGCCGTAACTACAATGAATAAGAAAGGAAAGTTAGCTATTAGATTTAAACACAAGTAGACAACAATTACTAGAAAGATCATGTTTTGGTCAGGTGTGGTGGCTCACATCTGTGATCCAGCACTTTTGGAAACTGAGACAGGTAGATTGCTTGAGCTCAGGCATTCGAGACCAGCCTGGGCAACATAGCAAGACCCTGTGTCTATAAAAAATGCAAAAATTAGCCAGGTGTGGTGGTGTGTATCTATAGTCCCAGCTATTAGGGAGGCTGAGGCAAGAGGATCACTTGGGTCTGGGAGGTGGAGGTTGCAAGTAGTAAGCCAAGATAGCAAGTAAGCCAAGATAGCACCACCAGACTCCAGGCTGGATGACACAGTAAGACCTTGTCTTAAAAAAAAAAAAAAAGTTTTGTTTTGTTTTTGAGACAGGGTATCATTCTGTTGCCTAGGCTGGAGTGCAGTGGTGCAATCCTAGCTCACTGCAGCTTCAAATTCTGTGCTCAAGCAATCCTCCTGCCTAAGCCTCCTGAGTAGCTGGTACTACAGGTGTGTGCCACCATCCCTGGGTAATTTTTTAAAGATTATTTTGTAGAGATGGGATCCTACTATGTTGACCAGTCTAATCATGAACCATGTTTTAGTTGTTATTTTTATTGTAGTATTATTATTATCATTTGAATTTCACTCTTGTTGCCCAGGCTGGAGTGCAATGGCACAATCTCAGCTCACTGCAACCTCTGCCTCCCAGGTTCAAGTGATTTTCCTGTCTCAGCCTCCCAAGTAGCTGGGATTACAGGCACCCACCACCACACCCAGCTAATTTTGTGCATTTTTAGTAGAGACGGGGTTTCACCATGTCAGGGGTTTCACCAAGGCCAGGCTGGTCTTGAACCCCTGACCTCAGTGATCTACTTCCTTCGGCCTCTCAAAGTGCTGACATTACAGGTGTGAGCCACTGCGCCTGGCCCCATGTTTTTGTTTTGTTTTGGGTTTTTTTTTTGAGACGGAGTTTCGCTGTTGTTGCCCAGACTGGAGTGCAATGGCGCGATCTCGGCTCACTGCAACCTCCGCCTCCTGGGTTCA